TCTAGTCGTACGTCACGACTCTGATCGATGTATGCAGTGCATATCACTCTATGGATAAAGCTACTCTACAGATGGAGGGCTGTGCGGTTGGTCTACAGAAACATCAAGCTTTCATGGTCGCTCGTGATTGATTCTCAAAGAGTGGTAATCCTAAAATAATGATTTAACGTATCGAACACGGCTGTACAGTAGAATATAACTACAATCGAATGACATAAAATACAACAGCTGTTTGATGTATTCAATTCAATTCCTCAGGAGAAAATATGCGGGAACCATCCTCCTCGTTGTGAAACCATTGCTGCAGCTCCGCGGACCATGTCCAAAACTTGTGCGCAGGGTGTTCCCGAAAGTCTCTCAGTGCTTGTGGTAACTCCTCTAAAGGCTTTCCGTCAAATTCAGCTTCGTAATCGATAGCCACGTGCCCGCAGCTCAGCCCTCTGGGACTATTATCAATGTGTTCATCACATTCGGATGGCTGATCTGCAGGGAGTATCTGACCTGGCAGGTCAGCCAAATCCGGCGGTTCGATTCCGTCCCGGTTGCGCTTTGGATCATGTGAGGGTGTGTTCAACTGAGGCCCGGCCTCAGTACATTCTCCTGGAATTCCAAGCAGGGCATCAGAGCCTCGAGAGCTGGTCGCATTTCCTGTGCCTGGCACAAAGTTGGAGTTCCTTGAAACAACACTTATGCAACCCTCTTCTAACGCTCTATCTGACCAGAGGACATCGCCGCTTACGTGTGAGGCCACTTCTTGGTTTTGCAACTCAGAAGAAACCCCTGCCTCTTTCACACCGAACAGTTGTAGAGTCTCCGAATGTTCGAATCGTTGGGATCCCGAAAGCACTCCGAGTTTGATTGTATTCCCATGTTTCAGTCCATAGTCTGACGGCCGGGATATTTCTTTGTCGAGAATGACTCGATTCTTATCCGCATTCTTCTTCAAGGCACAGCTTCCGTGCTGATTCAAAGACCATGGCTTCCGGGCTCTCGTGCTAAATGACGATTTATGGCCAAACTGGTGATGGTCTTTGCTCGCAAAATGACGTCGATCGAATCCTCGAGATTTACATGTACGATATTGTGTTGACATTTCAGCCTTCATATTTTGATCTTAACACAAGAATGACAAGTTGGAACGCAAGATCTCTTACGAATTGATTTATGCTTCATGCAGCATCCGAGTGATAGCTTCAACCGCATTGAAAGAACGATGGTCGGTGGGCGGATGTGAGTCCCCTTCATCGACTCGTGCCATAGACCATGTTCAGGAGGCATTGCTTTGTTTTGAAGCAAAAGATGCTCAATCGACTCCGATCTGCCCTAAAGCTCGAACCGGCGCCTATGATTTCACAAAAGAAAACGGAGCATGTGAGGCCGGCATGGGGCTAATGTTGTGTCACCGACCTTACGTGACATTGGGCAAAGTGTAATTCCAAAGGCGGCGCAATTACACTTCGAGGCACAGCACGGGCGCTGGTAGAGACACTCGTCGATTGGATTGGGAAGCTGCTGTCACATACTAGGTAGGCCAGTGGTTTCCTGATGGGGTAGAGCCTTCAGTAGTGCTCTGGCTGGGTACGACATGTGCTTTCATCCTACGAATCAAGGGCCAACATCAGGAATTCCAATTACAATTCCCAAAATTTTACCAACGAAGGCTGCCGGCTGCCTAATGCTGGCCAGCCCCTCGTCGAATCTACATTTTCGCCATCCAGATTGCTGTCTTTCTCAGCACTCTCATCAGCAGCATCAGTGTTCTTGCGTTTGAGGATCGTGTTGAAGATTGAGACGTCAATGCTAAACCACTCTCAAGAGAGCTTGTCTCATGACTAAGCCAGTTTACTCTTTGGGCAACCAGTAGTGACAAACGTACTGTGTGTGGCAACCGAAGCATGGGGTGTCACTGAGCCTCAGCTCATTCATGGAATCCTAATTCACATGGTTCGCGGCCGGCGGTAGGCAAATAAGCCGCACTCGCCGCCCACACACCCCCTTCCCCCAAGTTGTCTTGACATGCTTCTTTGATGCTGGGCTGGCAATGAGTGTCAATTGAGGGTGGAATGAAATTTCGATCAATATCCTTACCAATATGGCGCCAGAAGATGCTCCCATGAACAGCTTCGATCGGATGTGCCATGGCCGGGTAGCCTCATTACCAACTAGATACATCTCTCACTTCATTATATCCCTTCATATCCGAAGAGCTAACGCTACTGACAATTTTCTTGTTTTCCATTGTCTGCCCGATCATTTCCCCCTCTGTGGCCTCTGCCAGGCTACCCTTTTCTGCAACAGCCTGGCCCTTCGCACTAGGCTGTTCGGTGCGCCAACTCATTCATCTGTATCACCCCCTTGCTCAGCACCAACCTCCTACCCTTGACATCGTATAAGTGCAGATCATACCCTCATCATCAAGTATCGGTCAAGCACCGTCGCCACCTTCGCCTTTTGTTTTGAGAAAAACTGCGTTTCACCGGTCCATATTCACCACGTGGGGCTGCTCAGCTCCCGCCACTAGGCAGGTACTCATGGCATGGCGCTGCCCGCGTCTATGAATTCTGAGTACTTGAGAGCACAGGGTCATCACTTATGCAGAGAGGCCCCGCTGATAGAAGCCAGAGGGAACATCCATACTCACTTCTCCGATTTCAGCCCTACTCGCTGGGCTTCTGAAAATGGCAACCGCCCAAGCGAATGCGCTCCTGTGAAGGGAAAAAGAATATCTACAGCATACTTGATGTATGTTGGTAACCATAAAGGACTCTTGGTTAGAGCTCGTGTGGGGATATGTGCTATCCTCGACCAGACTATCATTTCAAAGTCCTTCTGCCGTCATCATGGTTTAAGCTATGTGCCACCCAAACCAGGTGCAAGACGCCAGCTGAAGACACCATACGGGATGATCGACGCGGATTGCTTCGTCAAAGGTCTGGAGATAAGTGCCAGGCATCTTGGAATCTCACCGGACGGCACTTCATACAAAGGCTTGGTACTGCCTTTCGACATGACGGACTTCGATATGATCCTCGGCAAGACTGAACTCGAAACACTTTCTCGCCGCCATCACGAGTTCGGGAATCGTTGTGTCTGCCAAAAGCTTGCCTGTATCACCCAAACATCGTTTGATCGGGAGGTGTGGCAATCGCCCTATGATACCAGAGGTTAGTGCTTGTCTCCTCTCCACAGACTCTTTTCTTCTAACCACCGTCTTTGCAACTACCAGAGAGGAGCGAAGCTCACATCATGCACCGCAACGACAACTCACAAACACGGCTTTCCTCAAGCATTGATATGACTCGGCTACATTCGAATATGACATTTGGCGTCCATCAAACCCCGTCATCCTCGGCGCCGATGTTGGGATCAGGGGTCCAACCAAACTTGACACCACAAAACCTTTACCAATCGGGGTTTGACTATGGAGCAAACGTTGCAGGTTCAGACCTTGATTGGGGCAATTTTGGCTCACAGGTATTTTCTGATCAATTCAATGCGCAAAATCAGGGCCTCGCAATCTTTCAGAACCAACAAGACCAATGGATGAACACCGGGCAACTGGACCACCGAGATTGCATGAGCTATCCCGGCTCAGCGGCTTTGGATCAAGACACACAATCGAGCTATGCGCCTTCTATGGCTTGGTCTGCAGCCGGTACTTCTTCGCATCCCACTTCGGAAACATCCTTCAACTCATTACAAACCCAATCGGCCACGTCTGAATATAATCCGAACATATCTTCTATCAGTCAACCTATGACAATGGACTATTCGCATGCTGTATATAACCACAGCCATCACCAAAGTTTCCCGTTCGGTGGCTCATTTGCCTCTGCACACACGGGCTTCAACAGTCAAAGCGATGTCGGGTTCAATGAAACTCCCGACACTCCCAAAGCACCATGCTATTCCATGAACCAACATCCAGGGACAGTGTCCAGTCAGAACATCGAGCACATCGGTACTTTCGGTCCTAGCAGAGAGCGGACATACTCAGCTCCTGGTCCTGGATCTTATTCTTAGCAGTCCCCTTGCTGCAAAACAACGGTATCACGGCGGCACCTAACCTGCCACTAAGCAATTGGCACACGGGATCCCCCGGAGCCATCGAGGCGGGCTTGTCCTGTGCTCGAACGCTCTGCTTGGTCGTGTACGCATCAACCATGCTTCACATCGACTATTATTTATACGTTAAAAAGAGTGCATATACATCGTATCCGCTCGCCCTGATCCTGAATGTCTGGCCTCACATTGCGGCTCTCGACTATCATACCTACGTTTGCTCGCCCTACCACCCTTTCTTTTTTTTTGTTATTAAAGCTGAAAGTTGGCTAACTAGTTTGTCTACGCTAACTTTCGCATTTCCATTTGTTTTCTTTCCTTCTTCTGGTTCGGTTATCATCTCTACACTCCTTTGAAGGTTTCGGGTAGGCCGAGGTTTAATGATTTGTGTATTTGTGACGATTGTGTAGCACTGTCATTCGAATAGGGCTAGGAGCAATCATCGAAACGTGATGAGCATGGAAGGAGGCTTGTTTGCAAGACGGCTCTGGGTGTACTGGATGTAATAGGGGACCCCAAGGGCGGCGAAGATTGACAACACCGCTGGATTCCTATCATGTCAAGGTCTCAACAGTACATAGCAAATGAATGCAGTATACGCATTGCGTCAAGTCTTTTTCAGTCTAGCAAGTTCACCAGTGAAATCTGGAAAAGAGTCAACAACGCACTCCTAGATTTTAACTTAGATGATGCGAGGGCAGGCTCGATGCGGTAGAAGGCAAGCTAGTGGGGATAATAAGTCGTGCGCTCCCCTGCTTTCAACAGACACCGCAGGATCGTTTGCGGCGGTAGATTCATTGCTTGTTGCAAGGTTGGAGGCGCTGAAAACGCATGGGACTCCTGATGCATCCTTCGACTCGCGAAATACTCGCGGAAGAGAGTACAGGGAGAGTGAACCGACATCAAGTGGGGGGCCATCAATTGACGGCTTAAATCACCTGCACGTACGATCCGATTAGGAAAACTGCGCAGATGGGAGGAACAATATATATCACAGACGAAGAACATCTAGAAAGGTTGGATGTCTTAGGCGATAACCAGCAAGTGGTCGGGGGTTTCATCGTTGGTGAGCAAGAATAGAGGAGCTTTCTCGTCTCAGTCTCCCGTGAAGAAAAGGTGCAAGCAACGCCAAACGGGGAGATCGAAATGCATCTCTTGTGAGAGCCATGTGTAAATCTAGACCTTGTAGAAGCAGAAGGCAATGTAGAAGCTCGCAGCTTCCTGCTCGTCTGGCGAAACCAGGAGGTCGCCGCCGCCGCGCTCCCTCACACCCATCCTCTCACTCAATGGACCGAGCGTGGGGTCATCCTTCTCGCTGTTCCAGACATCCATGAAGTTTTTCTGGTACTGCAGCTCGAGGTTGAAATCTTCGGCCAGAGCACGGAACGCCTCCCACGGCACGACGTACTCGGGAACCTCCTCCACGGCCTCGTCGAGGAAGAAGTTGTACTTCCAGCCGAACGCAGGACGGAAAATGCCGTCTTCGGGGGTCTTGCCGGGAAATCGGACACGGTAGATGCTGTTGCCCCATTCGGCGGTCTCCTCAGCCTCGCCCTCCTCCAGTTCACCGTCCTCGGCCTCGGCGGGTGGCTCGGGGGTTCTCTTCCTTCAGCCTCTTCTTCTCCTTCATTCGTTCGTTGAATTTTCGTACATGCTCTCCTAGAACGTCAGAATTGGGGATGCATCCAACCAGACGACCTCCCTTTCTTTC